GGCTGGAGTACGTGCCAGAGTGACGTGCCCAGGACTAGTGGGCACGGCAGGCTGTAGTACGTGCCAGAGTGACGTGCCCAGGACTGGTGGGCACGGCAGGCTGGAGTACGTGCCAGAGTGACGTGTCCAGGACTGGTGGGCACGGCAGGCTGGAGTACGTGCCAGAGTGACGTGCCCAGGACTAGTGGGCACGGCAGGATGGAGTACGTGCCAGAGTGACGTGCCCAGGACTGGTGGGCACGGCAGGATGGAGTACGTGCCAGAGTGACGTGCCCAGGACTGGTGGGCACGGCAGGATGGAGTACGTGCCAGAGTGACGTGTTATTGATGAGTGGTGTGACGGGCGGCGCAAGACATGCTCCCGCCCGCCGGAGTCATCACGCCCCGGCTCTATATATAAACAATACAATCATCATTGACAGTTGACGGGTAAACGGCTCTTTCTTCAGTGTTTATTGGAAATATTACACGCTCTTAATCTGAAAGAAATATCCGTCGATATGAGTAGGTCTGGTGGAGGTGTGGCATGTAGGGAACGGGAGGGAGGGGGGGAAGAGGTAGGGAAGCACTGCCACCCGCAGCTCAAACTTTAACAGTATTAACAAATTACTCTAAAAATGTCAATTTAACATTTAACAGCGAAACGACATTGAACAACTCTTGGCCAGAATAGCGTGTCTCCTGGGGACGCAGTTGTTACTAAAGAGGATTGGAAGGCGCTTAATGTGCTGCTGATGAAGCGTGTTCACAGAACAATATTATGAATGCGAGAAGATAAGCCATGAAGAGTGTGATGAGACGCAGCAGCCATCATGAACGTTGGTGACACGACGACTTAAGAGAGGCCTCGGCCAGTAGATGTTCCGTACAGGTTACTTAACGTCTTCCAGCAGAGACCTCGAGGTCCTCAAGATATTATGTGACATTGCCAGTGAAAAGTTGTGTCCTTCTCAGGTCACTTGGACTCATATTAGCGTCGTTAATAGCCCATAGTGTGTCTCATTGGTGCGCCGGTTCCCATAAGATTAAGTACTGAGATCTTTGGCCGTGAAGAACGGTGGATGAGGTTGAACCATGGGGCTGACCACACGGACTGTGACGGCACCTCCAAAAGTGACCATGGCGACGACAAGCAGCATCGCAAGCAGCGACGAGGAGAGCCAACTCGACTTCAGTTTGCTCGACCCCATCAAACTCTCCCTCTGCCAGGAGCAGATGTCAGATGAGTAAGTCTGAGAAAACCCACCAGCACGTCCTGGAGTATGTGAGTATGCATATATAATCATTTGAGTAAAGCTTCCGATCACCAAAGGAGTCATGGAACCCGTCGCAACAGACAAGTAAGTTCACTTAGATGCAAAAGCAACAGATATGTTCAGTTGCTACAGTCAGACGACTGTGTTGTCAAGCTGTTACTCCTGTGATGCCTTTGTTGTTATCCTTGTTGTCAGCTCTGTATAGGGCCTTGTTGGGTACTGTGTATTGTATAGGGTCTTTGAGGTCGTGTATATTGTATAAGGTCTTGGTGGGTCATGTATATTGTATAGGGTCTTGGTGGGTCATGTATATTGTATATGGTCTTGGTGGGTCATGTATATTGTATATGGTCTTGGTGGGTCATGTATATTGTATAGGGTCTTAGTGGGTCATGTATATTGTATAGGGTCTTGGTGGGTCATGTATATTGTATAGGGTCTTTGAGTGGGTCATGTATATTGTATAGGATCTTGGTGGGTCATGTATATTGTATAGGGTCTTGGTGGGTCATGTATATTGTATAGGGCCTTGGTGAGTCATTTATAGGGACTTGGTGGGTTATATATATATGACTTCGGTGGGCAAGATATTGCTCCTCGGAGGGTCATATATAGGCTCTCCCTTGTCACATGTATTTTCCTTGTCACGTGTCATGTACTTTCCTTGTCACGTGTCATGTACTTTCCTCGTCACGTGTCATGTACTTTTCTCGTCACGTGTCATGTACTTTCCTCGTCACGTGTCATGTACTTTCCTTGTCACGTGTCACGTACTTTCCTTGTCACGTGTCTGTACTAACCTTGTCACTGGCAATGTCTCCAGCACTATCCGCGTTTCTTGGAGTGATCTTAATTTATATTTTTATATATTACTAGTGTTGTGGGGCGGCGGGGTATGCACATAACTTACGTATGAACAAAATATACACTGCAGATATAGTACATGAAAAAAGGAACACAAAACACGTAAATAATTTTGATATGATGACGAGGTGAAGAAGCCAGAGGCGCGAGAACTAAGTGTGTGTGTGTGTGTGGAGGAAAGGAACTGATGTGACTTTAAGGAAGAAATTTTAGGAATGCGTAAAAAGTCGAGAGATGGAGCGAGCTAATAATGAAGGAAAGATGATGCCACAGGACCACTGTGCACAGATTGGGATATAGAACGATAGTAAAATGGATTGGGAGGCGAAGAGAGATGAGAGAAAAGGGTGAAACTGGGGTTGAGGAAAGTGTGGTGGTGCACTGGTGACTTATCTTCTGTTTGAGTTACACACTAACTGTCTAATTGTTATCGAAATGACAGGTGACAATTATGAGATGGGGGGGGGGGGTCGAAATAGGATTTTAGATGAGGATTATTTATGTTGGGAACGCCAACTGCCTCCCTACGCCCATAAAGTCATGTCCCCTTCTCTGCGGCCATATTTTGTCTTCTTACTGCTCCCTCATCATAACACTTCCCCTTTGGCCTTCTCATAACTCCCTTTTCCTTGAGCACCCGCCTCCCCCAACCCCTACCCTTATATCCACACCATCTTCCCTCCCCCTTCCTGGTGCTGGTTGGAGGGTATGGGCGGGCCTGGTGCCAACTCGCCGCCGCTGACGTAGTGAAGACCAAGCCTCCCGGACTGTCGCTGGTGTGACTCGTGGTCGGCCTCGTGCGCTCCTCGCTGCTCAGCCTTCCCGCCACAGCTTAACCTGCCGCAGCTTTTGTTTTGTTTACATATTTTACGCGCTAAACAGACGGCGACATTCCTGGGCCAATGGCGACTGCCGGCTTAGTGAACCGGTTCCAGCAGGCATTACGACGGAGGCGCATGCGGAGGAGCTTTACGCCCATGCAGGAGAAGAGGTATGGAGAACACTAGGGCACTGTGAAGTCTGTTAGAGTGTTGTTAAATCTTTCAGCGGTGTGTGAGCTTATATTAAGGACGTGTGTGCGCCCAAAGTGGGAACGGAACATTTACAAGAATTAGATATATTAATATCATTGCCCTTTGAACTTTTCGTGGGAGGTTGGGGGGACGGAAAGGGTTTAGTACACTGCTTTTGTTTCGAAATATCTCACTGGATTGTTATATAGATATTATGTATAGACAGTGATCCTTAGTAATATCGGGTAGTGTATGGGACCAGTTCCCAGTAGTGTATGGGACCAGATATGGGCTCACGTCCCAGTATTCGTCGTTCGTGTTCTCCTGGTTACATTTACTTGAGTTATCCCCCACCAAGATAATGTTATTAAAACAAAAGACTAAAACCAGTGCAAAACGAAGGAAACTTTACCTTCATTTACAGCTTTGACCCAAATATCACACTAACAAATTTATCGTGAATAACCCAACCCAATTACGGGTTCACCATAGCCCGTGATACATGGAAATATTGTTCTGAGTAGCTGTAGAAACAGGAGTACTCTGAAGGAGTACCCACAAGGGTATCCTAACATGCACTAGATTATTCTGTAAAGGGAAGACAGCTGAAGACATGCGTTGGTGCCCAAATAGAGAGAAAGATCTGGGGGTGGATATCACACAGAACCTGTCCCCAGAAACCAACAACAAAAGGATATCATCAGCGGCGTATGCCAAATTGACCAAAATATTAACTGTTTTTAGAAACTTGTGAAAGGAATCATTCATAACCTTGTATACCACGTATGTCAGACCAATCCTTGAGTATGCAGCTCACGCACAACTCAGGTTAGGTAACACCCTAACAGATTAGGTAACACCATAACAAGTTAGGAAACACCGTAACATTGCCATAAAAAGCTCCCATGCGTCGTGATATGCAATCATGCAAGGTACTACCACATCAATTCATCATATTAACCCAACAAGTGAGTTAATATCCTGATATACGTCAGCATACCCAGCCAAGAGCAGTACTACTCTAAAATACACCATAATACACCATAATACACCATATTGCGCTAAAATACACCTATCAGGCGCAGAAATACCTTAACAGCTAGATAATACCCGCTATCACTTGAAGTAATCCCAGCATGTGCTATGATGCCCTAAGAGGCGACATAATACCCCTAGCATGTACAGTGACTCCCTAAGACATACAGTGACACCTAAGATGTGCAGTGCCACCTCTAGCATGTAATGTCAAGCGACGAAACCATTGCACTAACTTGAATTGCTCATGGTGTGCTAACCTGCCCATCGACCTCCCTCCTGCGCACACAGCCTTCTAAGTGCGCAGAGTAAGCCTTGTAATATGACCCAAAATCCTGCAAAATGCGCATAATCTGCCCGGCGACCTCCCATCTGCGCACAGTACACTATCAGAGCGCAGAGTTAGTCTCCTAATATGTACAAAATCCTGCATAACGTGGATCGACTGCGCAAGTTGTTTTCTGTGTACATTAATAAATCCTTTTCTGCATGACATGTTTTATTGCACCAATAATAGCTTTAGGTAACTTGAACCATCAACTAGGATTTGTTATACAGTAAAACTGAGCAATTTTAGAGTAGTAATTTAGAAGTGTCCCAACATGAGCACTTTTCTAAACCAGATTATTCAGTATTTTGCAGCAACTTTGTTAAGAGTATCTTGTCTAGTGAAGCATTTTGTGTAATATACTCACTTAGAAATTAGAGATTTTTCAATACGTATCGTATGATACTGCAAGTTAAAAATTCCTCTCTTTTTCAATAGGGATAAAATTTGTATACTATGTGTGGAATTGTGACTAACGAGACTTGTATTCGCCCTTACTTACAGTTTTCTGACAGGACTGCCCTACCAGTTCATGATAGATCTGTAAGTGACAGGCCAAGATGCCGCTCTCTAAATTATGCCTGGGTTGTTGTGAGCCCCGTCTGCCCCCCGTCCCTCTGTCACCCCTGGAGCCCCAGACCCTGCCTCCCTCTCCCCGCACCTCTGTCACCCCTGGAGCCCCAGAACCTGCCTCCCTCCCCCCCCCCTGTCCTGCACCATGGAGCCTGAGAACCTGCCTCCCTCCCCCCTGTCCTGCACCATGGAGCCTGAGAACCTGCCTCCCTCCCCCCTGTCCTGCACCATGGAGCCTGAGAACCTGCCCCCCTTCCTGTCCTACACCATGGAACCTGAGAACCTGCCTCCCTCCCTGTCCTGCACCATGGAACCTGAGAACCTGCCACCCTCCCTGTCCTGCACCATGGAACCTGAGAACCTAGCTCCCTCCGCCTTGTCCTGCACCATGGAGCCTGAGAACCTGCCTCCCATTGAACCGTCCCAAATACGGTTCCTAAGGCCCCAAACCACTCTCCTTGGAACCTCCAAAACTGTTTTTTTTCTCTCAGAGAAAGAGACTGTGGCATGTCAAAGCCTCATGCGTCCGACCACCTCATCCTTCTCTTATGACCTTAATCATCTACAACTAAGATTACTGTTCTCATTTTTTGGTCCTATTGTCCCCTTTTTTTCCTAGTACATGCTAACAGAAACAACTCCTGTTTGCCCAGTACTCCGTCCCTGCAGCCTAGTTAACAGTGTCGTGGTCCTTGTACCCGTTGCCCCGTCAAGGGTGATGAATACCTCCCCCCCCCCCTTCTGACAATGAAGAGGTAGTGAGTTACGGTGTCAACAGTTCCTCGCCTGAACAGTCGTGTGTGTAGAGTTCCCCCTTACTGTTTATCTGAACCAACAGGTTGTTCCATGATCCGTAAATCACTCCCAGAACAGTGACTATATACTGCAGGGATATTCTGTATTTACTGCAGAATAATGTTTGATATATAAGATCCATAGCTGACTGCATGTTGGGTCCTCGACTGGTGTACCTTGTCAACGCTCTGGTTAACGGAGCCAGATGCCTTCCCAAACCCTTAAAGAAGGTTTGGGCTATATTGTAGACAGGTGTCACTTGAGAGTTATCCCAGCTGTGCTAGGCCCGACCCTAGCACTCCCAGCTGTGCTAGGACCGACCCTATAGCCTGTCTCTCCTCCCAGCTGTGCTAGGACCGACCCTAGCACTCCCAGCTGTGCTAGGCCCGACCCTAGCACTCCCAGCTGTGCTAGGACCGACCCTATAGCCTGTCTCTCCTCCCAGCTGTGCTAGGACCGACCCTAGCACTCCCAGCTGTGCTAGGACCAACCCTATAGCCTGTCTCTCCTCCCAGCTGTGCTAAGACCTACAGTCTGTAGCCTGTCTCTCTTCTGTTCAAAGATGCCTCTCTTCCACCCGCCACCATGACCTACTAATCTTGAATTCTACATGAATTTATTTTTTTTCCAAATACTGAGACTTCACACATAACATTTTCCCATTTCAAGCGTTTTATATACTGGTATTTGTGATGTGGTTGAGACTGAAGGGTTGACAACCTTTCCTGTCTCATCACCTGGCCACACATCACAGTAAACTGTCCCCAGTGCACCGTTGATACACTATACCATAAAATTCAGCAGATGAGGAGTCACAATAACGTGACTGAAATATGTCGATCGAAGCACACACTAGAAAGTGAAGGGACGACGACGTTTCGGTCCGCCCTGGACCATTAATCTCAAGTCGATTGTGTGACTTGAGAATGGTCCAGGACGGACTGAAACGTCGTCGTCCCTTCACTTTCTGGTTCCTGGTAGTGGTTTTCTACCTTCTCTCTTCTCATCTCAGCAGCTCTTCTCACTTCTCTTCTCTATCTGCTACTTTCTATCTTTTTCTTATCTCTCTCTCTCTCCCTTTATCCTTTCATTGGATTTGCATCCTTCTCTCTCATTTTCACTAATTCTCTATCTGTCTTCCTTTTCACTTCTTCTCCTCAGTTCTCTTATTTTCCATGGGTTTATCTCCTTTTTGTACAGTTATTCTCCTCTCAATGTCCTTCTCTTCATTGTTTCTCTCCAAGTTTTCCCCGTCTCTCCCTCTCCTCTGTTCTACCACACTGGCTTTCATCCTCTTCTCTCACCTTCCTTATTTACACTCTCCTCTCCTCTCACACCTCTCCTCTCCTCTCCTCTCTCTTCCTACACTTCTCTCTTTGTCCCTCCTTTATGCTCTCTTGCTAGTTCTTCTCGGGATGCCCTCGTCTCTTTACTGGTCATAGTCTCCTCACCCCTGGTGTTGCCTCACCCCTGGTGTTGCCTCACCCCTGGTGTTGCCTCACCCCTGGTGTTGCCTCACCCCTGGTGTTGCCTCACCTCTGGTGTGTTGCCTCATCCCTGGTGTTGCCTCACCTTTGCAACAGAAACATCACATATTATTATTGCAGGTATTATCAGTACTTAGTGTGGTACCACTTTTGTACCACTCATGCTCCTAGTGTTAATGGTAGTGTAGTGTAACTATTATATTACAAGTAACGTAATTATTCTTATAAATATTTTACTTCTAATAATATAATATTATTATTATTATTATTATTATTATTATTATTATTATTATTATTATTATTATTATTATTATTATTTTATTGATCAGTATTGACTGAAGCACACCTACCCCCTTCACACCTTTAGTCTTAGAATACACACTGTCCTGTCTTAAGACAGATCTTTACCACCACCACACACCTTAGCTACTGTCTTCGTGGCCTGCTGCTGTCACCAAAAGTATATCTTGAGCACATCAATGATTCTTTTGTACAACTTAATTACATCATGTTTTTGTAAATTAAAATAACATTCTGCACATGAGGATAGGCGCCTGTCATTGTCCTGGTGAGGATAGGTACACGGACTGTCTCAAAGGTTGTACAGGCTCTATCATCAGGCATCTTGGCCACTTGAGGCATTTAAGACATTTTATTGTTGACACATTGTACCACTCACCATACTGGATGTCTCACTATAGCTCCCACCATACTGGACGTCTCACTATATCCCCCACCATACTGGACGTCTCACTATATCCCCCACCATACTGGACGTCTCACTATAGCCCCACACCATACTGGACGTCTCACTATAGCCCCCACCATACTGGACGTCTCACTATATCCCCCACCATACTGGACGTCTCACTATATCCCCCCACCATACTAGATGTCTCACTATAGCTCCCACTATAGTGGACGTCTCACCATAGCTCCCACCATACTGGACGTCTCACTATATCCCCCCACCATACTAGATGTCTCACTATAGCTCCCACTATAGTGAAGGTCTCACCATAACTCCCACCATACTGCCTGCCATCTTGCCCTCCCAAACTCTAACCCTTGGCGTGTTCTTCATTCCAGTTTTCTTACGGATATTCCACTTCTGTTGCTCACCGACTTGTAAGTGCCCTCCAGTCTTGCTTCTCCGCCACTTGGCTCCTCACTGTCTTGACTACTAATGCTTCCTTGGAACCTTCTGTAATTGGCTGTCGTCGCCTGGTAAACCAGACTGGTTTTCATCTAGTTTGCTTCGCCTTTTCTGTCCGCCTTCACAGATTCCGTAATGGTGACACTAACATTTTCTAGCATTTTCAACTAATGGCCTTAACTGCCTAATTGATAAATCTTACTGATATATGCACTTAACAATAGACCGCTGAGCGCCAATTGTTTCGTGTTGCAGCTACTTGCAAGCACATGTGCAAGATTGATTGGTCTCGCGTTCCTTGGCATCTCTTGTTTGCCGAGTAATGCCAAGCTGTTCAACACGACTGCGTTCAGTGTTCTGATTGGCTTAGGTAAACACACGATTGTTTGGTCCTTACCGACCCCACACCCATGCCCGCCCAACCCCACACCCATGCCCGCCCAACCCCACACCCATGCCCGCCCAACCTCCCTCATGTCCTACCCTACCCCTCCCCCTCCCCTACCCCAACCCCCTCCCAACCTCACGCCTCACTTAGCATTATAGAGAATTGTATAATTCATTCAATTTATCTTCTGTTTGTTTTGAACCTGTTCTCGTTTAGCTTGTAGTTTGTTTGAGTATATTTACGTGTTGGTGCATGTGTCTCCCCCCTGCTCATTGTCACAGTTCCTCCCTCCCCGGCTCCTGCCTCCCAGTTCCTCCCTCCCCGGCTCCTGCCCCCCAGTCCCTCCCTCCCCGGCTCCTGCCTCCCAGTTCCTCCCTCCCCGGCCCCTGCCCCCCAGTTCCTCCCTCCCCGGCCCCTGCCCCCAGTTCCTCCCTCCCCGGCCCCTGCCCCCCAGTTCCTCCCTCCCCGGCCCCTGCCCCCCAGTTCCTCCCTCCCCGCCCCTGCCTCCCAGTTTCTCCCTCCCCGGCTCCTGCCTCCCAGTTCCTCCCTCCCCGGCTCCTGCCCCCAGTTCCTCCCTCCCCGGCTCCTGCCCCCCAGTTCTTCCCTCCCCGGCTCCTGCCTCCCAGTTCCTCCCTCCCCGGCCCCTGCCCCCCAGTTCCTCCCTCCCCGGCCCCTGCCTCCCAGTTTCTCCCTCCCCGGCTCCTGCCTCCCAGTTCCTCCCTCCCCGGCTCCTGCCCCCCAGTTCCTCCCTCCCCGGCCCCTGCCCCCCAGTTCCTCCCTCCCCGGCCCCTGCCCCCCATTTCCTCCCTCCCCGGCTCCTGCCTCCCAGTTCCTCCCTCCCCGGCCCCTGCCCCCCAGTTCCTCCCTCCCCGGCTCCTGCCTCCCAGTTCCTCCCTCCCCGGCCCCTGCCCCCCAGTTCCTCCCTCCCCGGCTCCTGCCTCCCAGTTCCTCCCTCCCCGGCCCCTGCCCCCCAGTTCCTCCCTCCCCGGCTCCTGCCTCCCAGTTCCTCCCTCCCCGGCCCCTGCCTCCCAGTTCCTCCCTCCCCGGCTCCTGCCCCCCAGTTCCTCCCTCCCCGGCCCCTGCCCCCCAGTTCCTCCCTCACTCTCCTCTCCTTCATCACCCCTCCGCCTCCCTCTACTTCTCC